TGCCCAAACAGAAGCAGGTGGTTTTATTAGGAAGCCACAACCCAAGTCTTTGGCCTAAATGTCCAATCTACAAGGTAGTGAAGCAACATCGGTAGATGCGGTCGCATGATAGTCGGTGATCAACAATTGGTTCCTGCGCCATATGTTCCTTCAGGATACTAGAGCTCATGTACACCATTGATTTGGAATCAGAGTTTTCAACCCCCATAGGTGGATCCTCCATATACATCAACAAGGTTAAAGCACCGGACATTCGCTTTTAGTCCTCTCAATTTCGTAAACAACACCCGTAGTGCGAGAAGGCAGTGAGTAGGACTTCCGTGGCAGTGGTTGTATGCACGTGGCCATGTGAGAGCATTTCGAGAGGGAGAGCTGACTGTCCCCATTCTCGGTCGTACCACGGCATTTGGAGGCCGATAGAAATATTTACAATTATTTTAATTCCTCAAGATAATGATTACCATAATTAATAACCAGTATAATGTAAAAAATTCTAAGATCAATTTTTATCATAAATTGACACTGACTAGTGAACCAGTGGATAACAGACTCATGGAGCATTCAAACCATCTGATCTTACGATAATTACAGTACCTTTATTCAATTAAGCTTAAATCCAACTGCGGTCAAATTACGTGACTATTGTTCACCTGTCACTCGATACAATTGTATTTTAATGACCATGGATTCGCACTAAAACTTTAAGGATTACCATTTACTAGTAGGCACACTTAAATATACAGTTTTATAAGTGTAATCTAACTCCTCATCAATCTCATACACTAATACTTAATCTTAGAATACTATTACATCAACTGTAGTTAACAACATTATCCGACAGTAGACCAAAAAAAAGGACTTGAAAATGTACAAGTGATAAGAATTCAACTAACTGTTAAATGTATATGAAATAAGACCAATCAACAAATACAGTTATTATTACGTAATATACAGAAGAATAATTAGAGACTGTCAGTTTAGTGGTTGTGGAGATTGTTAAGCTTTTGATTGAAATCATGAACCGATTGACGTTAGACCATCACTGAAAACCTGGAAGCACTGGACGGTTTTTTCGTCCTACTGTGGGACTCCTCAGCAGTGCGCATCCACAATCCTGCTCGTGGGATTCCAACCCGGAGCCTTCAGTCTCGCGCGCGAACGCTTAACCTGCTGGATCACTGAGCCGGCATGCAATGGTGTTAATGTCTAACCCCAACAATCCACAAAGTTGCGCGACCATCTTCCATTGTACTGAGGTAGACACGTGTTTCTACCCAACACGGATTAGCTCCACTGGACACGACTTCTCACCAGAACTTCGAGAATTTTCTCACGAAGCTAGTCGCCAGTGAGCATATGGTAATTATCAGTTTAGTGGTTGTGGAGATTGTTAAGCTTTTGATTGAAATCATGAACCGATTGATGTTAGACCACCATTGAAAATCAGGTTTTAACACCACTGGATGTCGGCTTAGTGGTCCAGTAGGGTTAAGCGTTCGCGTGCGAGACTGAAGACCCTGGGTTCGAACCCCACGAGCAGGATTGTGGATGCGCACTCCTACTGAGGAGTCGCACAATAGAACGAAATGGCCATCCAGTGCTTCCAGGTTTTCAATAGTGGTCTAACATCAATCGGTTCATGATTTCAATCAAAAAATTAGAGATTGGTTCAATCTTTATAGTTAATTTGTATCATGAGTAAATAATTGGTTTTTTGTGTTTACTAGATTGAATAATTGAACGTGTGAAGTATATGAACAAAGAAAATTCAACTATTTTTCTATGACTACTATTAATGATAACATTTATTTAAATATAAGTGAAATAAAATGATTTAATGATTTGAACTACTCGACTTAAATCAAAAACATTTACAAACCTTCTTTATTGAATGACTTACTGGTTAGTGTTTTTTTAGCGAGTTAGTTTTCTACGAGATGAGGTCGTTAACCCCATGTCCAACCCTCCTCCTTTTCCCCGTTCTTGGGACCATCACTAATTCGGGAAGAGATGCAGACGAAGTCCTTGTCATTGAATCCCCATAATTAAAACAATGATGATTCTTATTAGTATGATTTGACCATATATTACTTACTTACGCCTGTTACTCCCACTGGAGCATTCTCTAACCCACTCTGTCCTGGGCCTTCCTTTCTAGTTATATCCAATTGTTGTTCATTCTTCTCATATCTGTCTTTATTTCTCAATGCAATATGTTCTTTGGTTTTCCTCTCCTCCTTTGGCCTTGAGGATTTCAAGTGACGACTTGCCTTATGACCATATATAATCATTCTACTCATTATGGATATAGTTTAGACTTTACATAGACATAAAGAATATAATATGATCGAGGATATTTTAACATAATTATTGGAATCGATGTGTAACGATTAGGCAGGAATCTGCAACAAATTTAGTAGCTACTCACCCCCCACCACCACCAAAAGAATCTTAGGTTTTAGGGAGTTGTGTAGTATAAGAAATCAACAATTGGTCTTATCTCTGTGATAGATTAATACTTAATACAAATGCTACTACTCTCTATGTACATTTGCTAACTTAAAATGACGATCAAAAGATGATTTGTGTTGATCTGGTTCAAAAACAGAATAAGTTGTTCAATAAATTCATTCTGATCACGTAACAGGACGAATAAAAAAAACAAAGTAGAGGATTTGCTGCCCTGCTTACCAATGATCTAAGATTGTGGTTTCGAATTCAACCACTTCTTAGTGAGATATTGAATTGGAATACAGTCGTGCCTGGACTAGACTATGTATATGATTAACACACAACTAGAAATTTAAATTCACGTATACCTTACGAAGGTAGATACCGGAAATATATTTATCTTTAGTGAGGTAATAGTATTTAATCCAATACAATAATCGCTTAGGCTCTTATAACCGTCATATAGACTAAACCCGACCGCTGTTGCTACTTTGACGTGGTGGTCGGGCTTGCCTATCGTGATGAACTAATCGAGCTATTCTAGCTGAAACAGTCGTTCCTCAAGGTCCTACCATGCCAGACAGGTCAGTTGAAGAGCGGTATGACTAAAAGCAACAAACCCAAGGTTCGAAGGCGAAGTCGTACTGCTGACTGTACAGAGGTGTGACAGCAGTAAGGTGTTTCCTTCAGACAACCAGCATGACAGTGATGCTGCCTTCCCACAGGGAGGGATGGGATTAGAAAAGGTCGACCCTAAAAATGCACACCTCACCTTATCCCATGGATATCCATCTCCGGCGGTAAGGTCCCAAAAATTACGGAGCTAACACAAAAATTACTCATAAAAAGGTTGTGTGTGACCGACTCCAAGCAGTTGTGTCCCTTAGGCACTGCGGTCTAGCTCTCAGGTCATTAAAACTACCTCTAACCCAATCTCTTTTTCGTGTACCTCCAGAAGGACCCTTTTACCGTGTGGGAAACCGGGATGTGATAACCGTCCTCATACCTCTAACAATACTCTGTATATAGACTAAAAGTTGGAATAGAATCATCAATGAAGACTCAACAAATGGTTCAGAACAGAAGTAACTCCAATATCCACTATCTTTGTGGCAAGACAATGTAGACCAATTGATTTCTGTATGCTCAAGTCTTAATGTTAGAGAACAATTCAAGACCTTCAGTAGCATCAAGTGAACACATCACAAAATGTAAAACCTAACTAGTAAGTGCTATACATAAAACATTCATTGAGGACTATAGGAAAAGTTTACAATTTATTATTGAGTTATTCTGCTGTATATATGGGACTGTAACCTTTTGGATAGGAGTTTTGTAAACCTTTAGTCTTTCGGATCTTATGATCTTATTAAATATTATCGACTTCCACTATCATTTGATAAACCAGATTACTAGTATGCACGTACTCAGCTTTGAGCTACATAGTAGGTAAAGTTATTAACGATATCTGACCACGTAAATAAATGTACTGAGAACGCGGTTCGGACTATGGGGCTAATAGTTGAGAGTTGGTTGCTCTAACCGTTAAGTCATTCACTTTAACCATCCAAGTGTATATATAGGTGGTGGCTAGGAGTAGAATCAAAGATGCCAGTTTCATCCTATTTCAGCCAGAGATGATGTCCAACCCGGGACTCAAAACCAACACCTTTTGCTTCAAGCTTGTGTTATCCACTTAACTACTGAGTTCGGATAGCTAATGGCTTGTGAAATGAGGTTAAGCTTAATTCGTTTGTATTCGTTATTTGAATCTTTCCGAACAGTACTGAGTTCGAATCCCGGAGTGAACATCAACTCTGGGATACAGGTACATCCAATAGAACAGTTCTGGATTCTACTGCTAGCCACTATTCGTCTCTACTTAAAAATGCTTATAACTTAGCGTCAATATGGTAAGAATCTGTACAGGATGTGCATATGCCGAAAGACTGAGACCAATCGCATTCCTGAATATCGATAGGAAGATTCTGTAGTGACCTACTTTTATCAAGAGAACGCGATTGGTTTAATGGAAACAATTATTATTATAACCAACTGTACCAGGGATTGCTTTACGGTACTTGTTTGTTTAAATGTACCAAAACACATACATTCTTCCTTCGATTGTGACCTTGCACGGATTCGATCAAGCTCAGTGACCACACTTGTACTCCTTCGGCACGATCTCGGTATTCTTTCGATACCACGAGATCGCCAACAAATACATCTCGACTATAGCCATCAACTGCCTTCTGATATTTGACCTACAGGGATCTTATCGGTTAACTGGCACGTAGTCTTTCTGTAGTGGTGATCACAGTCAACCACGACCCGACACCACGCTACAATTCAAATAACCAGTGCAAATAAAGTATTAAATGTGTAGTTCACCGCCAATCTACAAACTAATAGATAAATCTTCATTACTCTCTTGTCTTATAGACCATAAAAAAACCAATAAACGAAGGGATAATATTATTTATAATTTGGTCAAAACCATATATAAAAGGAAAACAAAGAAAATGAAAACCCCATTACAATAATCCAAATCACAGATGATCAGGCAAATTGAATAACAAAGTCAATCGATACACACACACACATAACATCGAATAGACCGAAGAAGAAGACGATGATGAAATTATCAATTTAACTAATTTCGTATTTTTCCGCATGAAAATTGGATTCATATGAAAAGTTGATCGGGTGTCCTGATTGCTTACAGTAGCTTCAATTATCTAATAATAAATAAAAATACAATAACATACAACGATATAATGTAACCAACTTTCTTTAACAAGACAGAATATGGTATACTAACAGTGAAACATTAACTTGGTTGATGAAGTGTTCCACTTTTATGTCACCGTTTTAAACTCTGATATCATCAACTTTGATTTTATCAAAACAGGTTGTAGTATTATTAGTCTCCATACTTAAGAAAATGTATAATCCTATGCCGAGTACATAAACTTTACAGCTGGATAGTAAATAATGAGTAATATTAGTAATTCAGAAAATATCCTGCCATAAAATAGAAAAGATGGATAGTGGCTAGCAGTGGAATCCAGGACGGACGTGTCGTCTGATTTAGGACTCGTCAGAAGCTGGATGGCGTTTGGAGCGAACTGTACTGGGTTCGAGTCCCAGAGTGAACATCAACTCGGTGAAGCAAACACACCCAGCTAACGAGTTCCAAATAAGATGAAACGCCCGTCATGGATTTTACTACTAGCCACCACCCATCTTTGCTTAAAATGCTTGTGACTTAAGACAATATCGAGGCAATCCACACAGAACGTACATATGCCAATAAGAGACTGATCCATTGCAGTCCTAAACATCAATGGGAAGATACAAATAATACAAAATGAACATAAACTGGCAGATCAAAAGTACAATTTGCAAGGAAGATAATGAGTCGGTTTTCAGGTCATTTATGTTTGTATACAAAGAAATAGATAACCTATTAGCTATCCAGTAGATACAATTCATGGACAAAGCAAACTCATACTGTTCACGACATGAAGTAAAATGTTTCCAATGGGGAAACAGCAGTAGTCATTCCAATACATTTATACAATGTACTTACTATCCTAATCATTATTAGCTAAATGTCCTGGTGTGACCGAGGGTAAGAAGAGTTCACATTCCCGCCGCAAATGTGTATATGGCCACTAGCACGGAAGTATTACTAACTACCTTCTCGTACCCGGTGTTATTTATCAAAGCAAGAGGACGAAAGCCGAATGCCCAACGAGGGCTTAAACCCGGTTCCTTCACTGTCTTGTGGAGTAGACCTCTGGGTCAAAGGAGCAGGGGGTGGGCCTCTTCAAAGACTACTTACTTCGGTTTGGACACCCGGGAAGTATTCCAACCGACACAATAATTTATTGATTTTTGTGGCACATATATATTTTAGTCCCCCTTTGTACTAATGTTTATAATAATATCTTTACATCACTACACATATAATTAATAATTTGCGTAGACAACTTGGGGTCAAGAAAATTTTAGTCGTACGATAATTATATTCCCAAACCAAAGCTAACTAAATAACTTCTAACACTTTCCGTCAGTCAGTCGCAATGTGGAACTTGGTACGTGTGTATATCAGCCCAAGTTGCCATCAACCATTAGCACAACGAAATGGAAATGTTAGGCCAAATCCCAGAAAAATATAGGTAATAGCAGTATAATTAATAAAAGGAAAGATTAGGCATCGAGGACACAATTTGAAAAAATATAATTTACTGAAACAACAAAAGTTGGGAGTAATTTAGGGGATAACAAAGAATGGATACATGTGCACCATTGCAAACGATTTTGGGCCTATAACACCACTGGTTACGATAATCACTCAGACCCCAAACTGGTGGTCTGCACCTATTATAACATGCTTCAATCCAATTGTCAATGACTTCATGAGCTGATACTATGATATAGTTTGATCCCTCTTAGATCATACAAGACACATGTAAACATATATTACCTGAATTCCACAGTATGATTTATTTGATCCAAAGTTTAATTTCAACGGGAAAAATTGTTCTGCTTGTGCACCACGTTCTGTTTTTAATGTGAACTCGAGGGAACCAGATGAATTATCACTGTTAACTATGGGTATACGCCAGTCTAACTGAGTTTTACGTGGACTCAATTCATATTCCCCATCACAATTACCAATTAACGGAGGTTTAGCTGAAGGACTTCAATAATAAAATAAATACAAACGAATATTATATAAAGTCAAGTAAACAAATAAGGCGAGTAATACAGTGAAATGAAAAGTAAATTGTTGTCTATGTACTTTGTAATCAGTCGAATTACAACTCATGGAAAAGAATAAACTACATAGAAGACGGTACAAATGTTTGTCGGTTCAGACTTCTACATATTTCACAATAACACAGCTCTAAGTAAACCAAACAGTAAATCAATCATCTACAACGCAGGAACAGCCACATATATGCATCAGTTCAATTTGACACACCTCAGGAGGACAAAGAGTGTATACTAGTGCGCCATTGTGATCGACTCTGAGCCATATCACTCAGTTTCCAACCATTGGTTACGGTAATCAGACGGACCCCAACCAAGTAGTCTACACCTACCAATATGACTTTAAGGACTGATGTCACGTTTTAATTTGGCCGCCCATAAATATCTTCCAACCGTCTCTAACACTAGTTAGCATTACACGTCGTTGTAATCGGTGCTCAAGCATAAATAACACGTGACCCAACCACCTCAGTCGATGAAGATTTACAACCTCATCAACTGATTTACCATCATTCCCTAATACACTGGGTTTAACCTCGCTATTACTTACCCGATGATCCCAGCAGATACGAGCAATATTTCTAAGTCTGTGATCAAATACTAGTATTTGCGAGTATCTTCTACTGTTAATGGCCAAGTTTCGCAGCCGTTAAGTAAAACAGGATGAATTAACAATAAGACAAGTAAGGAAACAAAGATAATATTAATGTCGGTAGGAGTTCAAATTAAAATTAATGAATGGAGAACACGAAATAATAGTATGATTAAAAATACAAAGGACAAATGTACATAAAGCACTGTGTCTGACTTAAAATCATGTCATCAAACAGATTACAGTTATTGCATAGATGTGTAATATGCAACTATAAAGCCTTTTGGATCCTTCAAAGCCCTCGATAAACTATTCCTATATCTTAGTTTGGCATTATTTTAATCTATTATTTACGCTGTTGAAACGGTGGCTAACCAATATGTTGAGGCTAATGTCCTCAATATCTGACTCCAATAAATAATATCCCGTAAACTGAGTATTTTAGGTAGGCTTAATCACCTAGTAGAATTACGGATTTACTCGAGATTATTGAGAAGCCTGAAGACCAGTTGTAGAGATAGTTTATTGTTAATGATTAATAAAAATCCGCAAGCACGCAGCGAGCAAGCGCACGATGAAACAAAGTGAGTGAGTGTGTGTGTGTGTTTAAAATCCATATATATTTTTGGGAATTAATCGGGTGTGGATAAATTATCGATTATCTGCACATTGCAACCAATAGGAGGATAGTTTAAGGGTTAATGTACAGACATGCATTCGATCATACACATCGAAATTAACATGGTGAATTAAGAGTCTGAAATGCACACAGAAATTAACATGATGAATTAAGAGTCTGAGTTACAATGAATAGACAAATGATACAGTGGCCAAATGGGCTTGCCACAACGCTAACCAGAACAGCACGTCAAAGTAATCGGTGATTAGGCGTATGGAACAGAGACAACTATTCATAACTAGTGTGAAGCCAGGTACGATTGTGTATTGGAACAAGCTATCACAGCACACATCAACACAACAAGATAAACAGCAAAGAAGTCAAAATAATCGTGACAGTAATAACAATTACGAAGGCCAAATATTAAGAATATGGTTCAAGAAGATAGAATGAAAAGGTATGATTTAATAAACGCTGGAACTTAAAATATGAAGGACGATAAAGTAATGGGTGTGTCTGAACTACTGTGACCGATTCTGAGCTGTCACTCAATGTCTGCAGCCACTAGTCATGATAATTGCGCGGAGCTCAACCAGATGGTCTCCATTTAACAACATGGTTCAGTCAAACAGTCAATGACTATGTGGACTGATATTACTTCTCAGTTTCAGCTCTCCTACTTTTCTTCTAAACTACTACATTAGCTAACAATGTAAGTCGACATATACTGTGGTACGCGATACGTAACACACACCCGACCCATTCTAGCTGAGGAAGATTCACAGCTTCGAAATACAACTATTACTATGATTTTAACATTCGTACTGATAACTTTCTTGTTGCACTATAAATGAGTAGGGCTTCAACGAAAATTATCGTCAACTACTACTGGAATTCTTCATTAAACGCCAAACTTGATATTCGTGGAGAAATAAACGACAATATACTAAGCAGTAAACTTGCTTTGATACCAGCAGACAGAAATCACATCCACACCAAACGTAAAATAATTTAATAAATGCAAATAGTACTGTTTCTTGTATTTGTTTCAAGATTGAGTCAGTTGTCAATTCAATAAGTTTAATGAGACACTCATAAAATTAGTGAAATGATTGACAAGATCAACAATCTCACCACACATACTTTAAAACTGGAAAAACATACAGATCAGTTCATAACACAACATTTCATGTTCACGTATGAGGAGCATATTTCAAGGAAATAATCTTATTCCATTATCAACTGGATCAATAATCAACTGATAAACTTGATAGACTTGACTGATCAAATTATCCAATACGGTTTATTAGAACAAGAACGTCTTTACCAAAGATGTGTTTAGTGGTCCATAAAACTAACTTACGGCAATGGGATTGACATAACTAAATTCTCCAGTTCTAATACAGAATCTTGCAGTTCATATTCAACATTTACTTCAAAGCCACCGGGTATTTCATTTGGCCAACAATTAACTAGAATGAAGACAGTAAAAAAATCCTAAGTACGAATATAGTTACAGTGTACAATGCAATTCTTTGTGGAAAAAAAAACACAACAGACGCTTTTGAGATGGTGGAGAAGATTTGTAGCTCAGGTGGATGATTTTGATGGAGTTTTGTTCTCTGAGCTGGATGGTTTGGTCGACCAAACCATCCAGCTCAGAGAACAAAACTCCACCAACAACAGACGCTGTCTATATCCCAAAACTGAAGTAGGTAGAGCAATGGTTTAATTCTTAAAATATTCGGTTTTCAAACAGCTCTAAACCTTACTCTGCCTGCTATGATTTAGGTTACCGGGAGATATCACCAGTCTCCTAAACACACGTGTCCAAAGCTGAGTGTACACGAATCTATAATCTGTATGGAATTTATTATCACTGTCATTTATTAGGCGGAGAAAAGTTTGAATATGTTCAACATAATTTTAGAATTTGATAAGACTTATTTATGTACTAAGGTTTAAGTCGTACCCGATTAACCAAACCAAAGAAGACAGAACGATATTTAGACATACTGAAACCCTAACTGATTTTAAAGCTGAACACTACTGGGCTCTTCACTTACACAAGTTTATAAAAGTGTTCCGACGAAGATTTAAGGTTGTATAATTTGAAACACTGACTTATAAAACAATAGATAATGTTTCAGAGTTTCCGACAAACTGATTTTATATCACATTACCTACGATCTTAAAATATAGATGATGAATTGCTAGGGGACCTTAAGTCAGGAAGTCTGTATTTGAATATGGTCCATTAACCTCGTAAATATTATTTTAGAGAGATCTGTCTCACTGTGAAGTATAACTCATTTTCCCAACAATAATAATAATGAACTCCCGAACCAACACAAAGAACTTTTCTCGAAGTGGAATAACTGACTAAACAAATGGACAAGTCTAAATAGTCAGTCAGTCAGCTACAACGTAGGACCAGGCACATGCATCGGTCAAAGTTATCACACCTCATTAACACAACAAGATGAACATCAAATACATAGGACTAGTTAATTCAACGGTGGTAATATATAAAAGAAAGATTGCATATAAGGATATAGTACTGGAAGAAGTAGTTCATCGAAAGAAAGATATAAGGTAATTTTAATCTCATGATTTAAAGGAAGACAAAGAGTGTATACGCCTACGCCATTGTGACTGATTCTGAATCATGTCATCCAAATTCTCCATCTATTGATTACGATAGTTACACGGATCCCAACCAAATAGCATGCATTTCCCAACATGTCCTAAACTACAAGTTAGTGACTTCAAGCACTGATACCACGTTTTGGTTTGACCGCCCCTAACTTTCTTACAACCATCCTCAACACCGGTTAGCATTGCGCGTCCTGGTAATCAGTGTTCAGGCATACGCAACACGTGGCCCAATCATCTCAGTGGATGAAGATTCACAACCTCATTAACTGACTTACCATCACCATTGAATAGTAAAACGGAACAACACAAGAATATTGTGTGATCAATCAAAAAACAGGTCTGAATAAATCAATGTCATTTCATCTCAATCAAGGTGATTCATAAGCGACATGTATGTAAATTTGTGTACATGTAAGTATACACTGTTAAGGATGAAAAATGTGTGACCTTTATAGTGAGAAAGGATAGAGTTTAATTTGTAAGATAATAGAATGAATTGTGAATAATATCTAAGTACGATAGATGGTAAGGCCTTCTTTTCTATTGAGGGAGGCAGGATTAAGCATTATATGAAAAGCTTTGGCTACTCACGTTTCTTGGAAAAAACCTTTTTGTAATATTTTTGAAATTGATTTGACGGTCGTTGAAAATGGCGTGAACTGCTATTGCTGATTTATTTTTGTTGTTCCATTTTACTATTTAAACTTGGATTAATTTTGATTTGGTTATCTATTTATTCTCTGAAGAAGTGGCTTACACTAAGTCACGAAACGTCAAAAAATCTAATTTTTTATACTCATTGGGATATTACAAATATATTAATTCATTTATAACACTCTACCCAATCTTCAATTTATTTGAAATTATCAAGTTAAACCTTGATAATGATACCTATAAACACAAATGGAAGTTTTATATGAGAATGAGAGAGAAACCTTTGAGCGAAGTCATACGCATTTTATCAGTTAGCTTATTGATCTAAACAAACAAACAAATTAGACAGAGTTATGGAGTAAATATACAATAGCTTACCAGTTATAGGAAGAGCAGCTTCATCGGAAGTTTGAAATCTCCATCTTAATATACCAACTTCTTGACCATTTGGAAATGGTTTACCTCCTGGTTTGATTTGAATCCAACCAGTGGACTAAACGAAAATTTGAGAATAATTAAAAAACATTATAATGAGCAAAAATTAACAGCCTGAAAACTTAATCAACAATATGTAAACTTTAAGATCCCAGTGGTTATTGTAGTTCTTTTTTGTAATTCAGTTTTAATATCCACATTGGGTAGGACTTGAATCAAGCATCTTAGGTAGATCGAAATCCAGTCTAACAATATCAACAAACTAATAAGAGTTTACTCTTATTAGTAATCATACCAGTTGAACATGTTCGTGATTACCTGAACTTAGTAGGTCAGTAGATAACACGTCAGCGTTCGAAAAGATAGGTATTGGATCTGAGGCCAAATGTGTAAATATCGACACTGAGATGCACATACACCCGGCTGACGAGTCTCAAATAGAACGAAACACATGACTTATATCCCGGTGCTAGATATAATCCACTTATTTTATAAAATTTGTGAGAAAATGACTATATTGAAGATATCCGCACAGAATGCACATAAACCACTAAAGACTGATTTAAATTCAGTCCAACTATTAATAATGGGATAATGCAAACCTTTATTAATGATAATATACTACTCGGTTAATTTAACATTTAAAGCTAATCATTCAAATGATTAATCAAATATAAGTTTGTTGAAAATTCTCATTTAAACATTTTGTAAAATGATGTCAAACATTGGAAATTATGTAATTCAACATTAACTACCTTTTACATAATACTTGATAAGAGAATTAAAAAACTGTTTTAACAGGAAGTTAATTGTACAGTAGTTATATAGAAATCAAGAAATGGTTGTTGAGCATACATGACACAAAGTGAAACACATTAGAGAATTTGTTGAATAGGGTTTAATCAACGTTCAGCTAAAAGACAGTCTTATATCAATGACCAAAGGAGAGAGAATGGATGTACAAACTTCTTTTCAGTACAAAGATTAGGTTTATGAATATGAATTCTGATAGATTCAGTCAGTCAGAAACAACGTAGAACTTCGTACGTACGTACGTACGTATATCAGTTCAAGTTGCCATAAACTGTCTTACCATTGCATTATCGTAAAGAATAAGTATCCTATTCCTAAATATGATTGCTTGTGATAAAGTTTTGTTCTCTGAGCTGGACAGCTTGGTCATGGGGCTTTTATCATTATTCTAGGCATCAGCATAAACTTCAGGCAGAAGTGAAGTGTTCGAACTTCTCTAAATATGGCTCACAGCTTGTCCTGTAGACCTCGTTTGTTGACCTTTAACCTGTCATTGTTTACTTTTGCATTTTGGTTGTATCTCTCATCGATTTAATTTTTGGTCGTATATTTGTTCATAATTTTTCTGATTGGTTGATAAATTGGATCGATTTCAATGTGTTTGTTGATTGACCTGAGTGCTAAGCTTCTAAAAATTCTCTAGTGTTTTTAGAATTGCCTCTATCCAAGATTTCAACATTTTCCCAGTCGAATGTGTCCACATGCATTGATATAAGAGAGGATGTGTCATGGCGTTCGACCGCTAATCGACGTTTATGCAGATGACGATGAAGAGGGTGTCCGCCTTGTCCAATGTAGTGTTTGTCGCAGTTGGAACAATTTATTTTGTAGACGATGTTCGGTTTTTCTTATTTTGTCATTTCGCTCTTTTGTTTGCATGGATTTATCGAAGTGATCTTGTTGGTTTGTATGCGACACCTATTGTGAAGGGTTTCAGCAGTCTCGTTGTAGTTTCTGATGTGCATTTTATGTATGGTAGGGTGATTTGTTTGTTGATTTCTGTACTTGACTTTGTTTTTGATGATGCGTGCAGCTGGTATTTTTTATTGAAGTTGACCACGTAGCCGTTCTTTCGAAAGACAATTTTCAGGTATTTTTCTTCATTTTTCCGCGCTGCAAGTGTGTTGCAGTATGTCCTCGCCCTCCTGAATAGAGTTTGTACACAGTTGATTTTGTGGGCTCTTGGTTTACTGCTACTGTAATTGAGAACTTGACCTGTGTGGGTCGGCTTCCGATGTATTTGAGTCGCCAGTTTTTCCGTGTCAGTTCTGGTGATTAACATATCCAAAAATAGTAGTTTGTTGTTCGATTTCTGCTCCATTGTGAACTAAATGTCATCGAAGACGTTGTTGATCAGATTTCAGGTGTTTTCCAGCCTGTTCTTTTTGACAATGACGAATGTGTCGTCTACATAACGAATCCGAATTTTTGGCTTGATCACTGGTAAGATCGAGGCTTCCAGTCTCTGCATCACTGCTTCTGCAATAAGTCCTGATATTGGTGATCCCATCGATGTTCCTTTCGTTTGTTTGTAGATTTTGTCATTGAACTGAAAATATGTTAAGCGTAAATCGATGAGTTCTAGTAAACGTTGACTTTAAGGCTTCGTGTACTTTGTGAGATTTTTGTCGTTGGTGAGAAGCAGGGATACAGTTTCCTTTGCTAAGTTTGGTTCAATTTAGGTGAATAAGGCTGTTACATCGAAGGATATCATCGGCTCGCCGTTGCTGAGTTGAATGTCCCTAATCTGATCCAGGAATTGCCCTGGTACAGCCGAGGGTGGTGGGACTCTGCTTTTCCCTAAATACTCTCACATCCCCACCCATATACAGCTACCTCCAGGGAAGTTTTACTGACTGCCTTTTCATACCCGAAGTTCCTTTTATCAAATTGAGAGGACAAAGGCGAATGTCCGACGAAGGTTTAAAAACGGTTGATGGATACAGAGAATCCACCTAGGGGAGTTGGAAAACCCCTATTATAGACCAGTGGTGCAGCACATGGGCTGATTGAATAAATGGCGTATGAGCCTACTGTCCGTCATCGGTTATTATGAGACATCTCCTAACGTTGCTCCATTGCCTTATGGATTAGACCTCTAAGTCAAAGGCTCGGTGAGTGGGTTTCTTAGAAAGCCACCTGCTTCTGTTCGCGCAACCGGGCAATATTCTGTTCCATACACTAACTCAATGATTTGTGTTGTATAAATATTTCGGTTCCTTTGTACCAATATTTACTGGTTTAAATAAATAAATATCACGTTTATAATACAAGTTGTAGATATGATTAAAATAATTTAACTAGACTAGTCGAAACAATGAATCACAGTATGAATATGTAGGAAAGCACACCCATAATTACAAATGAACAAGGAACAGATATAGTGCTATTTAACGTGTTTATGTTACATAAATCTTTTATCGAATCGCTTGACAGGAAATGTTAAACTAGTCAACGACTCACCATTAGTCAGTATGAAGAATTTAAACACATGGATATCAAATTATTGGTTGCATGATGAGGTGCTAACTGTATGACATTACAGTTCTTCGGTTAATCAAATTTAGTCTGGAAGCCTCTAACTCACTAGAGAGTGGATGACTTTCAAAACTGATGTTTTCCAACCATTTATGATATTTAACCACGTTTGTTCTGTGCCAATATTTCGTAGATAAGTTATTTTATCATACAGAATAGCTATACTACAAGGAAACTGTCTTGTCTTCACTTGGGTCTTACTTCATTTGGGTACATAGTATCATTGAATAACTTCTAGCGATCGGCATTATATTCATTCACCGTAACAATTCAAAACTCACTTACTTGTCAAATCCAAACTTACAACAGAATGTAATGATGAAACCTCTAGGTTGATGGACTAAAGTGAGTGACCACCATCGATAGTCTACAATCGTGTACTTCAAATCAATCAACAACTGCTTTCGTGAAAAAAATATGTTTACCATCCCATGCAAAGTAAATCCATATCTTCAAGCATAATTTACCATAGTATCAAGTCGTTTACATTGAAATACTATTTGAGTATTATAAAGAAAGAAGAACTCACCATGAAAGTTTTCTTATCAATATTAGGATGTGTTTGAAGTTGAACAGGTGGCCGATGTTCATTGGGCGGATTTGTACACATACTTGTATCCACTCGGATTTTCGCTTCACAAGCTTCATTTGTGATAGCTTGTGCAAACATTGTACCTTGCAACTCCATACTTTCTAAACCACCATCACGACCAGCTTGAACGATTAACTTCTCCTCAATTCGTAAATGCAGACTAAAAAAGCAATGTGTAGGAAAAAAAACACATCGACTACTTGCTACTGAAATGTACAAACTTATGGTTGAAAAAATGACTTTCAAAATCCAAATAAAAAATATTAAGCCATACTACTACTGAAACGATTCAGCTTCGCTATGGACCTATAATATAAAGATTGTAGACAATAGACGATTACTTAGTGGTAGGTATTGAAAAAAATTCATGCTTCTTCACAGTTAAGGCTGACACATAAGCGAAGAAATTTTAGGAATCATAGTTGTGACAATCAAGTGAAGCTTTACGCAGGAATTCTCTTGTAAGTTGTAATGTATCATAATGCTTACAGTAAAATGTTTTAGGATACAACTAAAACTAATCGTGAATTACTATTTTGTCATCTATTTGTATCCCACATATAACAGCTCTGATATCTACAAGTGCATAATTATTCCATTGAGTACCTAGTTGTTGCCACAGCTATTCGAGAAAAAAAGATCGAACCAAGACGTAGCATCAACTAATGAAGTCATTGACAGTTGGTCTGTGTGGTATTGGATGATGTAAACTGTTTGGTTGATATTACTTAAATGTCCATAATCTATAAATGAAGAAACTGGATAGCATGTTTCAAATTCGGTTGCAGTAATTGCATTTTGTTCTAATCTTATCCTAAATCTAGAGTATAACATAGTTCTGTACTCTGTGTTTTACGATTTTGTTAGTTTCCCAAATGTCCACCACTGTTATTACAAGATATCTAATTAGTCTTCTTGAAGTGTACCGGTATAAGGTGAGATAAGTTAGACTGTTGTACGTTTGTTCCAGGTCCTCTATGCTTTATAGAGGAATGAATATGATTAAATGCCAGCTTGATTGTACTTGTAAGATATTAATACTTTTAAACTAATGCATGAAGAAAATGGATATAAATCAATGTTTACTTTTCTTTGAACCATTAACATGTTTATTCGACAGAATAAATCTTTTTAGACTCTAAAGCAAACGACTTACTTTTCTTTTTAACATGAGACTTTTTAGTTGAAGCAGAAGTTGAATTAGTACTCATTACGTTATCTGCTCCGACTGATCCGCTAACTAAATTCATAACATCTTCATTGACTACTTCACCTTCGGCTTTAGACGATTCACAAACTGATCAATGCTTTTTAAACCACCCTGGCCACCACCAAGTTGCATACCACTTCGTTTCACTGATGTTAAGATAGTTGCTGGATTTGTAGTAGGCAAACTTTGAACATCTGTATTCCCATCTCCCAAACGATCTTTCATGACGATTACACGAGGTTCATCTGTTGATAACACGGTAGGAACATACACATGGAAATCAGCCATGAGAACGGTTTTTCTATTTCAAAAACTTCACAGTTGGATTTAATAACTCGACAAACCTCACAAACAGGTAAATGGTGTACTATGTTACATTAAAAAATTTTAGCAAAAGGAAAATACGTGACAAAACCTAACATAGCTTTAAATGCTTATATAACATAGCCCCGAAATGCCCTGATATGGTCGAGGGTGAGGAGAGTCGGCTCTCCCTCTCTAAATGCTCTCATATAAACACGCGTACACAAGCACGGTCACGCAAGTCCCACTCACTGCCTTCTAGAACTACGGGTGTTGTTTACGAAATCGAGAGGACGAAAAGTGAATTTTTGGTGCTTTAACTGGGTTAGTAGATATGGAGGATCCACCTAAGGGAGTTGGAAAGTCTTGATTGCAAACTAATGGTGCACATGAGCTCCAGGATCCTGAGGGAACAAATAGTGTATGAGCCTATTGTTGGCCACCGACTACCATGGGACTGCATCTACTAACGTTGCTCCACTGATTTGTGGATTAGACCTCCAGGTCAAAGGCTCCGGGTGCGATCCCTACGTAAACCAACTGCTTCGGTTTGGGCACCCGGGCAGTATGACAGCCCTCACGCATATCAGTGATAACTGTCACTGACCTCATTGTTATTGTGTATTTGGTGCCCACTTGTACCAATGTTTGTGTTCAAATAAATAAAATAATAAATCGCAAAATTCGAAACATCCCATGACACCTTAGCGATTACGAGAACTTCTCTAATCTAACCCGTTTAGTCGTATTATGATAAACACTCGGCCTGAAAGTATTCAACCGGCAAATTAAATGCTTAACGAGTTTACTAGCTGCTTTCCTTTATATCAAAAATGTGCAATGATGAACTATTCTGTATATTAATGCCCAGTATTAGCAATAACTGTCTTCGTTGAATAAATTAGCACTTTTGATATCATAAAACAGTGGCCACTTCGCAAATGGTAAGCTGACGAATATCAAATAAGTAACTGGTCGCAATTTCGGGATAGTAGATTTTACAAGCTTATAATATCTTACATGCAAATTCTGCAGTTAAGTGTAAATATTCTCATCAAACCTTGCATTCTACTTAACTACCAATTTGTAACACACGGTGCAGTAAGAAGTTAGGGCAGTACCCAGCTTCAAATCAATACTCAGTAGGTTCAAACCCCGCACCATGTAATCTGGTTTGAGCACCTACGTAATATAATAACCTCTCACAAAAAGAAAATGTAAACAAGTACACTAACTTGTACTTGTAAAGCGAGTTGCGTAAAAAACACGAAAAAGATGCTACGAACCAAAAGAAATATGTAAGAAAATCGTACGGTAAGTGGATAAACCACTTACGGAAATATGAGAAAGGTGACCACCTTAAAATTTTGACATAATAGACAATATTTTACTTCCATTACAATCCAAATAAATACAGGAAAGCTTACTTAAATCATTTGACAGACCACCCATTCCTTTCCCACCACGATAATTAGAGAATCCTGAAAGATTCATACCACCTGAGCGTTTTCCAGCTTCTAGTCGGGCTTGTGTAGTTCACGTGCTCTCTGTTTCATTTGCTCTTTAGCATCACGTTCTTTGTTCTAAAAAGCAACACATGAAAACGAGTTTAAAAAAGATTATAAAAATCAGAAACAAAATTACTAGCTAAAGTATATCTCCAAATCCAACGGAGGAATGTGAACCTTAGTGACATTACCAGTACAAAAGTGAAAGAATAGACGAATTTGTGACAATGTAAAGCTCAAAATAAGTTTTTTTTTAAATAAACAGAAATATCCCCAGACGTAGTGGTTGAGAACATACCTCCTGTACAGCACGGAACACGCGTTCATCGTGTGAGTCCATTTCCGTATATGTTCGAATTTGTGACAGGTTGACATCTTCTCTATAGCCTAGAGCTATGATTTCATCAAATGCGAAAATAAGTTGGAAAGCATGTGTCAGTACATCGTTTTCATCGGTACCACAAGCATACTCCGGTATCTATATGTACAAGAAAAGAACATGTAATTAAAGAGAACATTAAAAATAGAATGATCAGTGAGAATATTTCCTAAACGTACCACACGTGCAAAGAGCCGTAATGTCTCCAAATCTTCGAGTATATTGCTAGCTTTGGTAGTTATCAGAAGAACATACAATTTTTCCAAAGGTTGGTAAACATACCGCACAGATTCTGTTTCCACAAATGTATGTTGTTTACCTAGGAAGCAAAAAATATAGGCAATAACGGTCCTGGCGAGCTAAAAATCTGGTACATCCATGACTTAGATATACAAATATCGTAGGGGTTCATAAGGGGAAATGTCCTCAGGCTTGAAACCACGTTTCCTCAGTGCGAATACTGAGTCAATACTATATATGGAAAATAAGACAATACGAAAAATCTATTTTCAGCTGACAACTACAGTTTATAAATTCCACCCCACTAGCGTAACAGGTATGTTATAAAAACTTTGAGAATTCACACGTTTACATTCCCGATAAGATGAACTAATTAGAAATAAGTGTTGATTCATCACCGTACACCAGGCTCATACAATCACAAATCCAGATATATCAATAAAGGAATATACTGAACAAGTGAATTATTAGCTGACTTTTGTTAGGCAAAGCATCTCAGACGATACTTTACGTTAGTTTTCTGTTTCAAAGAAAACCGATTAGGCCAAGTCAGATTAGTACGCCAACTAGGATTATAAGTCGTGTTCTGCAAAAACTTTTCATATAAATACGTAAAACACTTAATAGGTGATTTTAAGTCTAGCATTTTCAATCACTGAACAACAACACACTTAACTGTGTACGTAGATAATTGCATTTAATAACTAACTGACAATATTTGTATAACAACCAGAAAACGGTTAAATTATATGACATAAGTCTAACTGAGCACACTTAGAGCCGAAATAAAGGAATCACCTTACATTTATTGAATACAACATATGAACAAGAACTGTGAGTCTTCGAGAAATAAAAAGTGAAAACTAACCTGTCCCAAGAAGCTTTGGAAATGTTGCTATTAATCCTTCAATCCTTGCCTTTGTCATTTCCACAAACTGTCGAGACACCAGAGCTTAATAGGTTAAATGCAAATTCACACTATGAACATACCTTTACCATCACGAGTACACACAGAGGCAGCCAATAGAACCTTAATTTTTGGATGCTAGATAAGAGACAACTCACCATCGCGCCAACCTGTCAAGTTTACAATTAGCCGCTTCGCACCTCCAATATCCAATCTACATTCTTTGGAAACTTTCAAATGGTTCAAATGATTGTGGACAGAATAAATGAAGCTTTCGCTAAACGGGCTTCCGTACTTAGTGGCAGTGGATCATCAATACCTCCAGGTAGGAACCTAGATATCTAGTCATAAGAATATAAGTAACGAATTCGAAATCCAACGCTAATAACTCCTTAGCTTGGTGGGAAAACCGCCTTAACTTCATGTCTTTGTAATCTTAAATCATTATTGATTGCTTTGATTGTTAAATAAACATGCGTGCTATATGATTACTGAGTCTACGGATTACTCTTTTACATGCTTTTCTTTCCTTTAGATTCTTTCGCATGAGTTGATCTTGGGACTAGTACTGTACGTACCCTTAGGCTATGCTCGAAAACCAACATGTTCGGATCTTATCAGCGGACCTGATCTATGGCGATTATAGTAGTCTTGTAAAGTAGCACATAACAGTAAGCCAAATGACCGAACGGTCCAACAGTTTTTCAACAGGATAAATGAAAATTTCGACTAACTAGCTCGTTTCTGATATCAATGGCTTCAGACAGGGGGTAAGGCACTTGAAACGAGCAGGAATAAAAGAAAGATTGGTAAGTTATAAAAGGATGTTGACTCTGAGTCCTTTGGAATAAATAAAGGTTTCAGTTGAAAAGCTTGATGGGATTTGTTGTGGGCTTTGAAGACTTGACTACATATTAAAAGCAGAATGCGTGCAGTGCCATAAGCCACTAACACGAGAGAATATAGTAAAATAGATATTCAAGATTTAACGCAGAGAAAAACCCAACGATGAGAAGGCGGGAACAAGAAATCGGGTTAATTCGAATTAATCGGGTGGCATTGCTCAGCCTCGTAGGCATGGTCGCTTTCTACAACTTACTTTTACTCATACTATATATATTGTTCCATCTATAGTCTAAATGTGTTCTTCATCATATATTGGTGAATGTCAGAACCTATGGGACTCAAATAACTTAAGTCCTTTGTTATATTCTTTTTCCAGCAATCACCACAGAAAGCTATCTAAGAACACCAAATATGGTGAGTCTTTAGAATTATGGTCCAGGTTCATTATCAGTAATGCTAGAATGATAAAAAAATCTAAAAGACCTTACGTGAAAGTCACATCATTATCTACACCAACTCATCGCGTCGTAACAATCACCAATATATGATGAAGAACACATTTAGACTATAGATGGAACAATATATTTAGTATGAGTAAAAGTAAGTTGTAGAAAGCGACCATGCCTACGAGGCTGAGCAATGCCACCCGATTAATTCGAATTAACCCGATTTCTTGTTCCCGCCTTCCATCGTTGGCTTTTTCTCCGCGTTAAATCTTGAATATCTATTTTCCCAATTGTCCCGCACTCAGCTTTGAGGATTAAGTGATTAGGGCCCAGTGCCAATACAATATCATATGGCAGTCTGGTCGTTATTTATCCTGACTTGTCGCATCGTAAGAATCAATGATATGACATCTGGAGCTTTTGAAGCACCCATTTCGGCTTTGAGGATTGTGCGGTTTGGACCAAGAAGGCGTTTTAGTGACTGGTACTTCGTCAAGCCCAAAAAGTTTACTCTAGCTTCTGAACAGGACAGTGTATTCATTATTCTCACGCCATATTTTGAGCTTGTCAATTATTCACTTAATAATCATGACTGTTTTTATATGATCATATGGATGTCGATTGCTTGCCCTATTCATCGCGTATCTGTAACTTATTTTTATATGAATATGAATATTGAGTCACACTTGTTCATCAAATTGAGTTGGTTCGCTGGCCTTCTCCACTGAGAGTCACTTTATTTCGCTTCACTTTCTCCACTTCGATTGTCTGTCCAGATCAATGAATGTATGAAATATGTGTATTCGAACTTCATTATTGTATTTGACTTATTTTGCCACGTTATTCTCTAACGCTAATTCAGCTGTAAAATGTATTCGAGGATTGTTGGCATGCATATTTTGATAACAAACATTATGGGATTTGACTGGAGTCAAATATCGCGCCTCCAAAAAATTTAATAAAAATAAGACTGAATACAACAACTATTTCAAAGGAGTCAGTGTACTTGAATTCACAGTTTCTAAATGATGCTACTGAGAAAGTATTAATACGAAGGTTATAAAGGTGGCTCAGAAAACATTTATTGCAGCTGTTAAATGTATTCGAGGATTGTTTGCATGTATATTTTGATAATAAACATTATGGGATTTAACTGAAATCATATATAGGACCACTAAACATATGCATCCTGAAGAGAGATATAAATTTCTTAGAACATGTATAAAAGAGGGATATAAAGTTGGTTAAAAAAATAAACAAACGTAGAGAAGGTTTAGTCAGTGAGCAATCACGTAGAACGAAATCATTATTTCGTACAAATACCTTAAGTATTTTCCGATAACCATCTCGCAATGCATTTGAAACTTTAAATAGTACATTGTAACAGAAAAGTTTTAGCTTATTTTCCGAGAGACGTTTGGTGTGTATCTATATGTGAAAATATGAGCGTATAAGATATATGCGGTAGAATTAGTTTTATCAAGGTAATTTTCCCGATATGTTTGTCTTAATTTAAATTTTATTAACTAGAATTCAGAGGATCGCATATTAAGTTGTTTTACTCTAGTGGTGAAAGGATAGTTACTATTATTCGTAAGGGTTTTTTGACAGTTGATGATTATAGCTTACTTCATATTTCCTTTAACGTACACGAATTCTGATCTACTCATACTTCATTATATCAGTAGTATATCGATTTTTAAAAAACACATGCTTACTAATTTCAGACTTGTCTTGAATTTCAGGATATCTTGCATAACACCATGTTGAGAAAGCTATAATGAGGGCTCATTAGTCAATATTGTGAATAATACATATTAATAATTAGTTCAAACAAATGGTGTTTACAGAAACTATCAAAGTTATCTACACAGTTGGTAAAATAAACAACAAATGGATACTTAACTAAAAAATATTCACTTACATTAGTTCAAAGAATTATAATTGTTTTATGCATTCAACGAAAGAGGAATCCCAAATTTGTATAAATGTCTTCTAATAGCTAAGATAGGTAAGTCGATAAACATTAGAAAATGTCCTAGTACGGCTGAGAGTGGGGAAAGTCAGATCTACCTCTCCAAATGCTGTCACATGGCTACGTGCATGCAACCACTGCCAGGGTAGTCCTAGCCACTGCCTTCTCGAATCAAGGGAGTTTACGAAATTGAGAGGACGAAAATTGAATGCTCGGTACTTTAACCGGGCTGTTAGATATCGAGGATCCATCTAGGGGAGCTAGAAAGCCCTCATTCCAAACCAATGGTAAACATGGGCTCCAGGATCCTGGAGGAACAAAGGGTGTATGAGCCAATCGTTGGTCTCCAACTAACATGGGACTGCATCTCCTTACGTCGTCCCACTGCCTTATGGATTGGACCTTCAGGTCGAAGGCTCCGAGTGTGGCCCCCTAAGAAAACCTGCTGCTTCGGTTTGGGCACCCGGACAGTATCCCAGACCTCACACAATCGAATGGTGAAATATGGCACATATCTGTTGGGTGCCTCCCTATACTAATGTTTATGTATTTAAGTAAATAATAGCTTGACTGAACTGAAGTACCTAAATAATGGGTATAATTGTGTAGAAAATCATTTCCTACAGAAATTACAGTTTACCATTTGTTAAACTTAGCAAACTGAGATTAGTTTTTTTTTCAAGTATATTCTATTACGTCAACTTAGCTGCAAGTATAAGAAAATGTTTTTCTACGCTTCTTTTGTCGTTTTCACGATACTTTCCAAATAAAATCAAAGTTTATTTTCTTGTAGGAATTCTCTTGGATATACCAAACATTTTTTTTAAAAAGTTTATGAGTGAATCAATAATACTGTAATGAATGAGAACATTAAGTGGGAACAGTCGAATGTGTTTAAATACAAAGCAAAATCTCAGAATCATACAGTAAACACTTGAGTTGAAAGTTGTCAATCAATTGTCTCAGATTTCATTGTTCCTTAATTTCCATATCAATCGCTTTCTGTTCTCGTTATCTTTTCTTTAATTTTCTCAACTTTCTGCAGACAAGCATTTCATTTTTGATTGACGATACATACTACTTATATCTATCGATGTTAGTAGCCCACATCACAATATTAATGAATAATACTAAAATGAATAAATAATCAAATGATAATGAGCTAATCAAATAGTCATTAATGTTAAAAACCCAATGATGTTATGTGCGTGACAGTTATCTACCAATGTAAACCATTAGATACCAGTTCATTCGCTGCGTGACTTGAAGATAATGAGTTCTAGGTCTGCAATGGAGTTATCGTTAAGGGGTACTAAAAAGTTCTTTGTTAGAATGAGAGTGTTTGATTTCAGTGATCATCGAAGTGAAGTTCGTCTATGATGTAAATCATAAACTTCAGAACTATTTATGAAAACAATAAAGAATGACATAGGTCAGTAGTGTAATTATATTGTTCAAATGAAGAAAATGATTTTAAAGTTGACATCATCGCATAATTATTGATGGAAGTCTTGAAAAATCACGTTAAGGCTCTTCATGTTAAGAAATAGAAGAGACAATAAATGAGGTTTAATGCAGTACAATAACAAAGTGTTTAATCAAGTATAAGTTTTAATAATGGAGGTTGTAAGACAGTTACGTTTGAATACAAATATGAATTTTATTCATATTAGAATAGGTAAAGATCAGTTTTGTGCTTATAATTTGTAATTTCCTACCCTGAATTTACTTATTTATGATTATTTATTGTATTCAGTCTGTCAAAAGTGCAAATTTAAAGTTATTGACTGTTCTTAATTGTTTTCGCGTAACCATAAAAAATGACGCTCGGAAATTCGACAACTGAACTGAATAATTGAGTAACAGACCGCCCCAACTAGCACCCCAGATCTAG